GGGGGCTGTTTACTTCATTATTTATTTTGGAATGGGAGGGGGGCTGTAGGTGCCTTAAGTATCAACACTACTGCTTTGTTTTTTGTTTTTTTGGCTTTTTAATTAGTGTACAATGTTTGTGAATTTTTTTTCTATCTCCTTAAGTTTTTATTAGCCAGGCCGTGTTTGTACCCTCATAAGCAGTAGAAAGGAATGGCGAAGACTGAGCATCGAAACAACATTAACGCACTTTCTCGAAAATGTCCCGACCCCAGGTTTGATAAGAAGTCTCAGGCAGAAGCGGCGATTGTGGGCATGAATGGCGTTGTTCCCGAGGGTGGGACTGAGCCCCTAGTGGTTAAGGTAGCGGAGGAGCACGGCAAAATGAAGGCTGCCTACTACGCTGGTTACCATGCTGGCCTCAGCACCACGAGAGGTGGCGGCGGTGTCGGTAAGTAGCAAGCTGTAGTTTTTTCCTCCCTTCTGTAGGATTCCACTCTTCTAGTGTAAATTCCTTTCCTGTGTGTTTTGGGGCTGGTGTTGGTGTGGGCGGTGGACTTGGATAGCACTCTCACTTGGCTTTCAGGTCTATGGAAGGAGACAATGAATCAAGAGGAGGAAGTGGCCTCAAAGACTTCTGTAGAATTACATTTGCTGCTGTTTGCATTCACGTGCATATGACACATCTATACGCACATACACGTACTCATCTCCCCCCATCCATCTCTCTCTCTCCTCTCTCTCTCTCTCTCTCTCTCTCTCTCTCTCTCTCTCTCTCTCTCTCTCTCTCTCTCTTCTCTCTCTCTCTCTCTCTCCTCTCTCTCCTCTCTCCTCTCTCCTCTCCTCTCTCCTCCTCTCCTCCTCTCCCCTCCCTCCTCCCTCCTCTCTCTCCCCTCCCCTCCCCTCTCCCTCTCCCCTCCCCCTCCCCCCCCTCCCCCCTCCCTGCCTACAGCCCCTCACCCACTTCTCATCCTTTCTCTTCCCTCTCTCTCTCTCTCTCTATCTCACCCCATTCCTCTCTTCTCTTTCCTCTCCCCTCTTGTCCTTCTTTAAGTTCCTTCCTGTGTTTCTCTGTGGTAAAATTTCACATCTTTTCTTCTCTTCATGTGTATAACAGACATGTCTGTTGATAAAAGCAGGACAACCATTTTTTTTTTTTTTTTTTTTAATCTTTTGAAAAAGGTTGATATAGATCATAGGAAATGTTTATTTTATATTATTATTTCTGATAGCAGTGCTTTTGTTTTTATTACTTTGATTGTTTAGAAAGAAAGACAAGCCTACATCCGGTGAGAGAAAATAAGAAATCTCATTCAATTAAAGTTCAAGAAGAAGAAAATGGTTTCATATTAGATTGACGAACAAGTAGCAAATGTTGCCATAGAAATAGAGATATATATGTATCAAGATGTTTTAAATGGCAACATGTAATCAGCTTCCGAATGGCATTGCCCGTAACTTTTTTTGAAGTGACTCTACAAAAAGCCGTATCCATTGGATAGCTATTTGATATTTATAGAAGTCTTTTGTAGACTTCTGTATTATGTGGTGTATTTGTTTTCATTTAGCAACCTACCTGACTAAAGCCGGTCTTTGTAGTCAGTGCTCACAGTCTCGCATTGGGAATTTCTTTGCTTTTATTTTGAATTGAGATTTACAAGAGGTAGCATTCAGAGCCTTGAAGCCTTATTTGAGAATGCTTTTCATGCCACCTTGGAAATATATCCTGTGGTAATGACGTTGAGAGGAATTCGTGGAATTGAGCTGGATAACTGTAATGCCCATTGGCATTGGGATGCATGTTGAGATGCTTGCATACACTTACACATGGAATACATTATCTTCTTTTGTCCTCTTCTTGCTCCTTTCATCCATGCTTTTCATTCATTAATTTTTCTGTCTTGTCTCAATTCCTTACTTTTACCTCCTGACCTACCTCCTCCTGCATTGTATGTGACAGTGGCAGAATGTTCAGTAGCATACATTGATTTTGTTTTATGTAAATGTACAAGTATATTTTGGGTGTTCTCAAGAACAAGAAGTTGTAGCTCATAGAACTTTCGTTTGACGTGTGGTTGTGTAAATAAGTCTTATGTGCACTTTACTGATATCCCAGTAAATCAGATGTGCATGTGTATGTGTGTAAGATGTTGAGTTCTGTGTACTGTATGTGTGAATGATTGTGTATGAGCTTTCTTGCATGTGAACACGTATTGATGAGTATGCAGATATTTGGCAGGTGTCTGATTGTGTGAGTGACGTTGGTTATAACTGTAGTCACTGGTGCTCGCTCGTTCCCACTTCCCCCTCCCCTGCCCTTTCTCTTCTTGTAGACTCTTAATTGTAGCCTATTTGTTGACTGGGAATGTGTCTGGATTCAGAGGAGGTTTGTTGAGTATGGTGTAGGCAGACTTGAAAAATGTGATTTTTATATATTAGTGGTTGTAGTTATTGATTATCATAATTTCTTCATTATAGATTTTTATTTGTTTAATTTTTATTACACTTATTTAAGTGTATTTTATCATGTAGATATTTTGTTTGTCAAGAAAAATTGTTTACTAATTAAATCTTGAATTTTGTTCACTCTTGAGTTGTTCTAAGTTAACATATTGTTGATTATTATTGTTATTATTATTATTATTATTATTATTATTATTATTATTATTATTATTATGATGATAATGATGATTATTATTTTAATTGACAATTATAATGAATTATTAATTATTATTATTATTATTATTATTATTATTATTATTATTACTACTACTACTACTACTACTACTACTACTACTACTACTACTATTACTACAACTATTATTATTATTATTATTATTTTTGTTATGATTTATTACATTTTAGAGAAGCAGTCTAAGGTAAAGTATTTTAAATTTGCTTTTATTTTGACATTTTTTCATGTTATTTTTTTATGCTGTAATACCGGTAAGTTTATTTTTATTTTTTATTTTTGTTGATCGGGTATTTTTGGAAGGAAATGAAAGAAAAGTTACCACACGCTTCCCTCAGTTTTGTTATTATTTTTTGAATCAAGGGGTAGAAAGGATGTGAATTTGAATTAAGAGAATTACTTTTGGTTTTAAGTTGTTATGAAGAGAGACCTTTCATATTGTGGTTCATAGGGATTGGAAATGGCTTTGCTGGCTGAAGACATCACAAAAAAAAAAAAAAAGGGAAAAGGGAAAAGGAAGAAAAACTAAGATTTTTACATTTTTTTCTTATCCCCCTTTTTTTTTCATCACTGATGTGAAAAGGTTGTTGTACTAGTTTAAAGAAAGAAAAAGAAAAGAAAAGCGTAGTAGTCTATTTAGTGCGTTGATGAGTAGCACTTTTATATATTGTTATTTGTGCTCTCTCAGAATTGAGTCAAAAATATAAATTGGATTTTTTATTTTTATTATTTTTTTCTTTTTTTCTTCTTTTTTTATGGATAGAGATCTTATCTGTGAGCAGGACATGAGAGAAGGATAGAGAGAGAGCGAGAAAAATCTGCCCTTCTAATCTAAATATATATATATGTATGCATACATATATATATATATATTTTTTTTTTTCTAAATTTTCATCTTAATTTTTTATTTTTATTTTATTTTATTTTTTCTCCCCCCCACCTTAAAGAGTCTAACGAGAGTGGTGTCTTGCAGGTCGAGGGCGTGGTAACTACAACAACCGAGGGGGAGGTGGTGGTGGCTACCAGGGACGAGGGAACTACAATAATATGGTGGGTCTCTTTTTTTCATTTTTTCATTTTTTCATTTTTTAAAGTTCCTAAATTAGT